TCGAAGTGTTCACCATGGAGGCCATCCTTTAGGGGACCAAAGAGGTGAAAATCTGAAGGAGCCAGGTCCGGACTGTAGGGCGGCTGGGGCATGATATTCAGCCCTGTCACGCGATCTCCTCGCGCGTGGCGTGAGACAAGTGCGGTCGGGCGTTGTCATGGTGTATGGTGATGTTGTTGACATCCGAGCCGCGCCTCTTCTTCAGGATTGCTTTTCTCAGTCTCCTGCAGGACTGTGATGTAGCGGCCCGCTGTCCATAGTCCGCCCATGTTCAAGAAAGCCCACCAGGATGACACCATGACAACGCCCGACGCACTTGTCTCACGCCACACGCGAGGAGATCGCGAGACAGGGCTGAATATCATGCCCAAGCCGCCCTACAGTCCGGACCTGGCTCCTTCAGATTTTCACCACTTTGGTCCCCTGAAGGATGGCCTCCGTGGTGAACACTTCGAGACCGACGCTGAAGTCAGGTGCGCTGTCAAGAACTGGGTGAAAAGACGGAAAACGCGTTTTTCCGGGCGGAATTCCGGCGTTGGCCGGAACGCTGGGAGAAGTGTGTGCAGGCGGGCGGCGACTGGTTTGAGGCAAATGTTACATTCAGAAACATTTGATCTATAATCTGTGAAAGTTTGAAAGTGTTATATAAAGAAATAAAGAAGTTATGACCGATTGTTCGTTACTTATTGAACGACCTAATATTTAAAGAAAAACCTCACCGTCATTGGCCTTTTTCAACCGTAACGATGCATTTGAAGTCAAAAGTGTACCCAAATGAATAAAAAAATTGATTCCATGCCCATATTTGGTCATGGCTCCTCCCACCAGAATCAAATTATTGATGCCTCCATATTTTGATTCCAGAAGTCTAGTTTGCCCAACTGATTTATTTTGGGGGCCGGCAGGTCAACGCCATCCACTCGCTTGTGGTGGTGTCCTGTGTGACAAACGCCACCCACTGATCAACATCTCTGTTTCATGTTCAACTCGATGAATATGAACAAAGGTGGCCTTCAGAAGGAGCGACTTGCATTGATCCCGAGCTGACTGCCAGTCGTCAAAGGTGATGTACCGAGCTGAACAAGCGACTTTATTTCAGTCTTTCAGTCTCAAGATGACTAAATTAATGCATGTTTGCATGTGGCGTAGGTATGTAGCAGAACTATCACACGGTCATTCTGGCTCCCTTTCTTCAAGAACCGTTATGATGTTGATGTCGACAAAAAGTTAGCATCTGAGTATCAGCATCTGATTGCAATTGCACACCGCCTTGCCCTACGGTTCATGATCATGAGGAATGATCAGGGGATAGATATCCTCCGGTCCGCCTCGTGAAGTCGTACAACTGGTATGTGTGAGTTATATGGGTATGTGTGAGTAATGGCGGATAATTGGAGATTTCAACACCAGTTGCTGGGCAAAGGATGGAAATGGTTTCATAATTAAGCATTCACTAATAATGCCATGGGGAAAATCGAACTGGGATTACTGCCGCAAACTGACAATTAGCGTGTCCTCCGATCAACTCCCCTTCTCATTTGGCTGTGAAAAGGCCGTCAACACCCGGACTTGTCTTTGCCTCCAGCTGTGGTGTGAGCCACCACCAAACGGCTTATTCTTATGCCTGCTTCAATTTCCAAAGTATCAGATATTATTTTCGATTAAAACAAATAAATTCATGATGCGAAGCGAAGATATTTATGGTAAAAGAGGTTCGGTGTTGATTTGGTCAAATAAGGTGCATTCGCCAGATAGCCTGCCGTGAAAACGGCTATTACCTATGAGCTTTCATGGTCACGGGAAGAGCTCTGGTTAAAACGCGTGATCTATACCTACTGGTCGAAGAATGTGACGGTCGCGGTTTGCTTCAGACTCTGAGCTAATATGTTGGTCAGTCATGTCTCAGTATACTATAAGCCAGACCAGAAAAAGCGCAGCGTTGCATGCAGTCATGGGCATGCGGCAGGTCAATGACTCTCGGTGGAGGTGCTGACCGCTGCCGAGCCGTGGTCTCGGGGACTTCACAGAGGCTTCATGTTAAAAAACTGTGTCCCATGGGCCCCAGTCTCGGGTTCATATGTGACATGACTCGGTCTCCGCTAGTCAAACACGTGCGGTAATGAGCGTGACCCTGCCGCTGAACCGCTGAGGAGTGGGGTCTGACACGACACGATGTGCACCGTGAGGCGTGCTCGGGAAACGGGTTACTGCTGTGGACTGCGAACACAGGCGGGTGCGACTGTATCTATCGCGGGACTCCCCTGCTCGGGCACAGCGCCGGACATTGACTCCTCGGTGGCGGGCGGACGGTCTACCGACCTCGTCTGACGCGACCCGACCTTGAGCTCGGCCCGGCCGCGGTCACGGCTCCAGTGCCGGCCTCGCTAACGGTGCCGTCCCGCCCCGCCGCCGTTTTCGTCGCTCATTCATCGCCGGCGACCACGCCGCCGCCGCCCGCCGCCCGCGCCCCGGCCGGCCGGCCGGAGCGTAGAGTCTTCCCGCCCGCCGCCGCGCCGGCCGGTCGGTCGGTCGTTGACCCCAGCGGCGGCCGCTCGGCGCGTTGGCGGCGGCCGGCCGGCCGGACGGCGGACAGAGGGCGACCACTCCAGGTACGGGAGACGGCAGAGCGCCGCCGCCGGACACGACGGCCCCGGGGTGCCAATAGGTCAGCTGCCGTCGGCGCGGCCTACGTCGAGCCCGCGACCGCCCCGGGCTAGAGATGCTATGGATACCGACCGGTTCCGGCGAAATTCCTCGCGGCGGCTCCCGACTCAACAGACGGGTCGGCCGCGTCTCGTGGCCCGCCTGGCAACGGCTCCACCGCCGCTGTCGCCGCCGCCACTGTCTAGACGGCTACGTCATGAGCGCCCGTCATCTTTCGCCTCTTGGCACTGCCCGAACTGCCCACAATGCGCAGAGCCGGGCTGACAGGTGCGTGTGGCCTCGCTGTAGGCACAGGTTCCCCGAACCACGCCGGCCACTGGCGGCGAAAGGGCAGGATAACCGCGATCGAAGCAGCTGCCACCAATCTCCGGGAACGACGGACGTTCACCCCACCATGATGCATGCAACGAATCGTTTTTGAAATTGACCGTCGTCCGAGCGGCATTCGGTGAATGGTCCGTGGCACTGTGCCGGTTCCCAGTTCCCACCCGTTCGCCCCGGCCGAGCGTGGCGGCCGGCGCACCGTTAGCTCTGAGCGCCGGCCGGCCGAGAAATGGCAATGACCTTCGGCCCGGCCGGCGGACGGCGCCGACGGAGGGGCGCCGGGTCACCGCTGACGCCGCCGCCGGCGAAATAGACGTCCCCTTCCCCCCGTCACGTGCCGCCCACAGAAAACACGGCGCTGCGGGCCGGCGGAGCGGCGGCCCGTTTTTCAGCGGCGCGCAGTTCCGCGTGGCGGCGGCCGTTGACCTGCACGCACATGGTCCGGAAGCGCGCCGTGTCTGTGCCACCTGAGCGGCTCCTCCCTCCTCGTGTCGATCCAGCGTTCCCGAGGGTGGCGATCGCTGACAGTGCGCATTGGCCAGCCGGCAGCCGGCCAGCCTGCAGATGCGCTCAGCTTTCCGACAACCGCGGTGCAACGGCCGAGGACGGGTTCAACAACCTGCCGGGAACCCGGTGAACCCGTCCAGAGGGGAGGGGAGGGGCGCACCGTATACCGGCGACTGACGACTTCGTTCCGATCTGGTCTGACTGCGTTCGAAAGGCTTGGTCGCAGGATATGGTGGGGGAGATGAGTGGTCCGTTTGAAGAGCCACGTGACCTTTGACCCTGGGTCGCCGAGGTGAGGACGGCGGGTCCGAGGTCAGGGCTCAGTATCTGGTGGCGGCGGTGACCGGCGCGGATCGGAGGAGGTTCTGGAGCCGTCCGGGACGGTGTGACTCACGTTTTCGCTGGCTCTGCGCTGTCGGCCATGGTCGGAGCGGGGCTGTCGGCGGGCACATAGGTGCCGGGCCCGGCCGCTGGCTGCTCCCGGGGTGTGGCCGTGGCCGCAGTCTCTGCTCCGCTCTCGCTCGCTATCACACAGCTCGCTCGCTGGCTGTCACTGGCGGCGCTCGCCTCACGCTGGCACGCTACACTGGTACTGGCGGCCGGCGGCTCATGGGCGGCGGGCTGCTGCCGGGCGGCGGCGGGCGCGGGCACTGCCGCCGCCGCCGACCGGCATAACGTAACGCGCCGCCCCGCCGCCGTGGCCGGGGTCAACGACCGCGCGCGCCGGCCGCCGACCAACGAGCAGCGCCGGCCGACTACGGCCCGGCACGGCGGCACGGCACGCCGGGCGGCGCGCGGCGGCCCGCTCCGGTCACGGCCGATGTCAAGGTGATCGGCGTCTGATGTCGCCCCGTGTGTGATCAGGAAATTGGCGGCTGTTCGATAGCAGGATGACTTGCACAATCTTCAGAGGTTTGGCTAACCGTCAGCAGACCGTCACTTGTTCACGTGGCTTCCAGACGGCGGGGGTGGCGACTGGCGACCCTGGGTCACCGCACAGGTCAGAGGTCGCGGATTGGCGGAGGAGGGCGCCGATAACTCGCGATCCTTCCTCCGATGCAGCCAGAGGAGAAATGACGCACCCGGCGGACCGCCGTCTACCAACCTTTGTCCAACATTGCAGAGCAAAAACGACGTATCCAGACAAGGCCAAAACCGGGTTCTTGTTCGGTTAAGTCGTAATTACTTTTGTTTCGGTTTTTCGCAGAGGTCGATAGGTGTCTGGTACAAAGACTATTGATCCTCTCAGCAAACATGGTCACTGGTCAGTTGACAGACGAGTTCGCGAACCACCCAGAACACACGGCTTATTGGTGATCCGGAGCTTAGCTTAGCCTAAGCCCATATTCTTTTGTTTGAGGTAAATGACAACTTATTGTTAATTAAAAGAAAACCCTTTGCTAGCAAGTAGCTACACTGCATTTGTCAGAACCGAAACTGGTTTGAATGATTGTGATGAATGAAATTGAGGTGCTGTTCTCCGATTTCAACTTCACTTAAAGGCACATAGTATAAAAATGTATTATGAACATTCTTCTTCTCAGTACAAGCATTATGACACATCTTCAAAATGCACAAACACAGCATGCAGAAACAAGTCTAGGAGAGTTACACTTTTTCCAGCGGCAGTGTCTTTCGAAAAAAAAAAACAGTACCCATATAAGGTCACACAACACAACAATGCATTACAATTTACAACTGCTTAAAACTGATCTGTCGTCTTCTCTGCCTTCTCACTGGAAAACACACTCGATAGGTATCCAACTTTTCTAGATGGCATAAAGTGGAACGCTAAGCTGCTCATTAAAGCACGAGATCAACATTAACGGTGCATGCCTCTGCTACATCGCTTTAGTTGCCCAGGGGATATAGCTATAGCAATCGGCAAACAACGAACGACGTTTAAAGTGTGGACATTTGGCTTGTTGTCAGCAATCAGTTACCATGCTTCATGCCCTAGCTGGTCTTACCAAATAATTATAGCAGACCTTGGACAGTTGTACCCTAACACACAAAAAGGCTCACAGTTTTGTATACGCCCGATATTATTCGGGAGAGACCGTTCCGTGTTATCCGTAGGTACTCCAATGCGGGACTTTGTCTTCAGATAAATCGCGATGACAGCAGCCTGGGACATACATATGTTATCCCTAGCCTTCCACTTATGCAATTTGACGGTATTCTACTCTAATCGGCCTTGGTAAACATTGCAAACATCGAAAAAAATTCCTCTTGAACGGCATAAGCGACACGCCTGTCGGTATTGCGAGCAACAGCTTCACGATAAAACGATCCCACCAGCTAACATTGGGTTATTACACAGAACACTTTGCTCCAACAGTGAACACTTCTTTGGCATTGCTACCCATGCTAAGTATTGCACCATGACATGACTCGGTGTAATAAATTCCCCGCCTGATGGGTAGACCTTGCTTTGTCATTCACTGCCCACATCAACATCCTACGTTACGGGTTCCGTTGGAGTCAATCCATCTCCGCCATTCCCCCGTATCCGACCTTTGACCTTTGTCTGACCCGGTCCGTGCAGCCCTCCCCTCACGGCGTCGGACGCGGCATGCTGACCGGACGCCGGGCCCCCACGCCGTCCCCATTCAGCAGGTTCGTCCACCACTGGACGGCGTGTGGGGAGCGGTGGGTGGACGGATCGCGAGGCGTGCTCATTGGTCACGGGCCCCGGTGTCTGACCGGGCGTGACCCCGCCGGCGCGCAGCCTTGGGACAGTCCCTGACAGTGGTCCAGGCGGCAGGGCGTCACGTTCCGGCCTCCGAGCACCGTCAGAGGTACACCTGTCAGAGGAGGAACTCGTTGTCAGTGAGACCCGACCTTGCGAGTTCGCTATGTAAATTCTGGTTACCGAAAAGTAATTCACACGTTCCGTCGAGTTTCCATCCTCAGGATGCTGAAATCCTTCTCCACGCCGCAACCCTCAGTCCGGGCTGGACAGACACCTATATCTCATGCGGGCTGCTCCCTTGGCACCGCTGCTCCCGAGGTAGCACACCCGTAGCCGGGTGCAGTGAGTGCTTGTGGGGCTGGTAGTGGTCAGTGGTCGGCCTGTCCGTTCGGACGGGCTCAGCCCGGCGACTCACTAGGGTGCCTGCCCAGACCAATGCCTCCCCCTAATTCCGATCATCCTTCCGGCTCTGAAATGGTCTTGTCACACCGAAAGGGCCTAACCCAACAAAAAAGTAATTGAGACAAACAGCTGAACAGTTGCGAGCTATCAGCTAAGGCTAGCTTGCTACCAATGAAAATGCAATTCAGGCCCAAGATCAGCTGGTTCAAGCATCAATTTCCTCGACTGGATAGTGGGTTTGCATATTTTGTCCCGAGCGACCGCGACAAAACCGCCGGGGGGGGGGGGGGAGCAGGCCCCAACTTTCCCCCCTCTGTCGGGAGGATTACTCGACTTCATGTTTTTTTTTTTTTTTAGCCGAGAATGACCACAGTAAAGCAACACATAATGATGAAATGCTATTTTGGGAACTTCCTGTCACTATAACGGTGAAAATGAGCAGAATCTCTCCTCATTGACCTGTAATGGTGAGCTGACTAAGCTAATATTGATCTGTAATTAGCATATTTACAGCTTTGTATGTCGTTCAGCATTACGAATGACGCCATAGGCCAGTGGTACATACACATGATCTGATCCGAGAGTGAAAGGTGGAGAAGTTCTAGATTCAAAACTTGTCCCTTATTGTAGTATTACACTCCACTTTCCTTCAATCGAAGAACCATTCATAATAAGCAATAACAAAATTTAAATATATGAATAGTTAGTTATGTCTTTGGTCGATTTTTGTAAAGTTAGCATAACTATTGACGCTGATAATTGCTAACCGTCAGTTACTTAGGCGCCTGGGTGATCCGTATGAGCACCCCTTTTCCACCCATTCTGTACGACCCAAGAACCCCTCACCCACCTCTGTAGAACCCTCAACTACCTCTGTAGGACCCCTCACCCGCCTATGCAGGGCATCTAGATTCTAGAACCCCTCACCCAGCCCTAAAGGACCCCCCACCTACCTCTGTAGGACCCCAGGCCGAGGCGCAGGTCGAACACACAGCCCCTGTAGCCGGGGTACGAGCCCAGGTCGGCCGGTAGCGCCGCGTGGTCCTGTGTACCGCTATATCCACCTGCAGGGGACACCGGACGGCGCGGTCATTGGGCGGGTCAAAGGTCACATGAATCACATCGACAGGGCGGTGCACTGCTTCGGAATGTAGCTGTCATATTCGGCCCGTATTCGGGGTTGGAGTTGACGTTACGGATGTCATATGACATTTGGCGTTAACCCGCGCCCCGCTGGGCTATTCAGCCATACGCGCCCTGCTGGGGGGGGGGGCAGATTCTGCCCCCCCCTGTCTAACTTCCGAACCGATGGTCGTAGAAAGACGGGGAAAACGGCAATCGAAAGCTCTCAACAAGGCGGATCTTAAGAGCCCAAATTTTTTTGCTTAAGTAGGTCAGAGGTCAGGTCAAGGTCAGGTCAAGGGTACAAAATGCAAGTTTCTACAGTATCGGCCTTGCACCGTAGTTGCCGAAGAATGGACTGAGACTGATTGCCCAAAACGTGTTCTTAGACTACCAAGACAATATTCGTTGCACACAATGTCATTCAAAGGTCAAGGTCAAGGTCAGGTCAGGTCAGGTCAGGTCAGGTCAGTTCAGGTCACCAAAAACAAAATATAGAAAAGGGCATGTGCGACACATGTTTTATGGGTCATTTTACTCATGGAATTCAATAGGCACATTCACTAAGTGATATGGACCACCTCTTGATGAATTTCAGGTCGAGGTCAGGTCAAGGTCAGGTCAAGTGAGGTCAAATTTCGAAGTTGGTTGTTAAGGCCTAAAAAGGTGTCTATCCGATGCAGTTTTTCACGGCGAATCGAATGGTGCTATTTTTGTTTCCGTACGAGGTCTAGAACTTCCAAAAAAATCATTTCTCAAAATTTTTGTGTGTCGTGACGTCATAAAATTTTGAATAACTCCCACATTTTTGAACCGATTCTTCTAAAAATTGGTATGTAGGTGCACATAGACCACTTCTTTGACATATATTCCGGTTTTTTCGATAAACTCAAAATTTTGGATTTTATAAATATTTTCCCAAAAAAGTCAGTTTTTTGGAAAAAATTTGGCCAAAATCCAAAATTTTCAAAAAACCGAGATAGCCATTTGATAGACAAAGTAGAATGACGTATAACCTTTTTTGTTACGTCTTGATTCCTTTAAAAATGAAGATGTTAGCGGCGTTTGAAATTTTGCCGTTTTTGAGGCGAAAATGGCGAACATGACGTCACTAAAACGTCAATTTCTCAAAAATTTTCCGACGGATTTCGCTCAAATTTTCAGGGAACGTGTCAAATTGATGTATGATAAGGTACTGAAAGTTTGACGTTGCTGGCGTAACGCGTTTAGAAGTTATTGGCGAAAAACGGGAGGGGGGCAGATTCTGCCCCCCCCCCCCCAGCGGGGCGCGGGTTAAGTAACTGGTGAATGGCGCGCAATGCTGTCAAATAAGTAGTTCATAGCATTAACATGATGATGATTTAATCTCTTTATGATCTTTCACTAGAAAATTTTTGTCATCCACGTCCGCGCTTTGAAGCTTTCCGAGCTGCTCGCCACTAGGTTGTCCGAACGATCCAAGCAGTTGCAGCTGGTTCAAACGGCCCGAATCTCGTCATTTGGTCCATTGACGTCGTCAGTCATTCAGTGACACCGGCGGGGCGGAGCGGCTGTGACACCTCCGCCCGTTCAAATACGGAGTTACCCTCTGAATGTCTCACCCTCCCCCCTCCCCGCCCTCCCGCGCGGCGCCGGTCATTGACCCGGAGCCGGAGTCAGCCGGCTGGCCGTAGGTACCCCGCTTACTGACCTATATGCAGCACGTTGCGCACGTCCAGCTTTGTGTAGTCGCCCGGCGCCCGGGCGGTCACCACGCGCTGGGCGTTCACCTGGCGGGTCATGACCGGTCAGAGAGGGTCGCTCGGCGAGTCTCACCGCCATGGACTATTGTAACTTATTTGAGAGGAAGGAGGTGCACGATTCAATCGGACAAATGGTTATCTGATGCAGCTGTGCAACAAAATCGTGAGCATTGAACGTTGGTGGCAATGTTGTAATGTAAGTTTATCGATAAATAATCAACAAGTCATGTTTGATAGCCCCCATTTCCGTCAAACTTGCATCAGAACTAACTACAAGGGAGCGGCTGCTCCGTTTTGGGACATTGCACTCCGTAGCACCGTGCACGGGTCATTGGCCGCCGCTCCTACGGCCCTACCACCGTGTGTAGAGACGGCTAACCGACCTGTGGATCTTACATTTACATTTATTTATACATGCAACAGCATTCCGTACGATTGATGGTTTCTCACCCGAGGTTTGAGATGAACGAACGTCGAACATGTTGCTATGGCAATGAGACAGATGCAAATACAAATAGCTGTGTACAAATAGCAGATACAAATAGCTGTGTTTGAAAAGTGTCAGCAGTGAAAGCGTATGTAGTGTATACCTACTGTAAGCTTGAAACCGGCCTATGGGCCCTTCATGTAAAATATTGGCTGCAGCCTGCAATACCTACATCTCGGATATGCCGATCTTCTCTTCACGCATAATCGCTCCGTGGGTTAAACCGACCCCAACCTACCTGTGCTAAAACCCGTGAGCGAGACCCGCACAAGGCGCCTGATCCCCAGACCCCCAGACCCCGTGTCCATACCCGTAGGCTAGCTATAAGACGCTCACATACGTCAGACTCCCTCCCCATACCTGTAGCTATAAGACGCGCACATACCGTCAGACCCCGTCCCCATACCTGTAGCCAGACGCGCTGGGCCCTGCGGCCGACCCCGTCCCCATACCTGTAGCCAGACGCGCACATACCACATCCCCATACCTGTAGCCAGACGAGGCACATACCGTCAGACCCCGTCCTCATACCTGGAGCCAGACGCGCACATACCGTCAGACCCCGTCCCCATACCTGTAGCTATAAGACGCACACATACCGTCAGACCGCGTCCCCATACCTGTAGCCAGACCCGCACATACCGTCAGACCCCGTTCCCATACCTGGAGCCAGACGCGCTGGGCCCTGCGGCCGACCCGCACCGTTTGAACGGTCATCTCGGGGTCCAGCGGCGCCTCCGACATCAGACGCTTGCTGCCTGCATGTGATCGGGGAGGAACGGGGTGTGATGTGATGTGACTTATCAACGGATAGTTCATTTATGAATCCTGATTCCTGGGTCACTACCTTGACCCCTTCATAAGATCATATTTTAAATGCTCATTCGGTAAAATTTAATGCTAATGTGCTTTGAACAGTGCTATGTCAAATCTGTGCCACACGGATACACATTTTCAATTTCATAAATGCCAGCACATTAGCTGTGCAACGCAACTAATACGAGCATTGAGCATTGAGCAGACTCCAAACTCCTGTCGATGGCGCGGACCACGCACCTGAGCCCAGGTGCCACGTCACGGTGACGTAGCCTCGACTGAGGATGACGGCGAAAAAGTCGCCGCCGGCGTCCCTCCACGGCCGCTCGGGCTCCGTTCCGACCTCCAGCGCGGTCGTATTTGTGTTTGACGGAGGTGGCATCGCAGCGGCGACCTCGGTGTCCGAGACTGTGCTCGAAGACTCGTCCAGCATGACTGTCAGGTTTTGACGTTCCTGAGAGGTGTGAAGAGAAGCGCATTGGTCCTCATGGTCGTCATGAGCGTGACGAAATAATTACATTGTTTCCAATGCCATACACAATGGGATCGGTGAAAATGAGTAGGTATTTGTCTATTGCTACTCAACATGGTCCCTGCAACTTTTTCATTTCAACGTTTGGAATATGGAACAAGTGACAAAGAATTAAGCTATTTGGACTTCATTCACATCTTTGATGTGTAAATTGTTATGTCATGTGTATTCTACCTGCTGCGGCCCAACGGAAAACGGCTTCGTCACCGACCGGACCCAGTGCAGCAGGCGCTGCACAGGCGCTGCATTGCCCGGCCAAGGGCTAACTATACCTGCGCGCCATCTACCTTTGCGCCAGTGCTGCCACCTACCATGGCTGTCTCCGGCCGCTCTGACTCCGTGTCCATAAGAAGGGCGAGCAGTGAAGTCTGTTCCGTCTGGTTTGTGGCCAGATGGAAGAACATCCAGAACTGATGGCGTAGACTGCCGGTGACGTCAAGAGCCAGGTGGGAGGAGAGACCGCCGGTGGAGCCGTGAAACTGGTACCGGGCTCCGGGGTATGTCGTCTCTGTGGGCCGGGGGGGGGGGGGGGTAGGGGGTAGGTGGCGTTTGTGTCGATCTGGTGTTTATTTTGCGAATGTCTATGTCAGAAGACCAACTTACTACTGAACAATGGTAAAAGGAAACGTTCTCTCATAGCCAGGCGATGCATATCAATTTGATCTCTCAATTGAAGATGGGACACGGTAAATTATCTCGGGAACATGATTTTGCGATATGATGAGGTCCAAGTCAGCTAAAGGCTCATAAATCTTTTTAGACTGGGCCAAAGAGAGAAAATGGTCCACTCGTCTCTCTCACCCGTCTGACAGCAGGGCCCGGTCCTTCCGAGCGGACACAGGCAGATGGACTGCCCGGTGGAGAGGAGGGCGCACTGTGCGCCGGGACCGCACGGCGCCGGGTCGCAGGGGGCGAGCTCGCACCGTGCGCCGCTGAAACTGAACACCCACACGGGTACAGTCAGTCTAGACTGAGTGGCCTGGGAGTTAGAAGGGAGGATGAACAGGAAATCCTCTGTTAGTTTATTTGGCTATTTCTTTTTCTAAAGTAGTTCACTCATAGTCTGGCTGGCCTCCTTTTGCTGAACGACGAAGCATGCAGCGGCGTATTTAGAAAATCGCGAAGGGGGGGGCCAAGGGTTTGGAGGGCGCCACCTCACCCAAGGAGGGCGCCATACGGTCGCGAGATAAAAAAATCGCTCAGCGGGGTGGGTGGGGGGTGGGGGGTTGGGAGGCGTTCTTTACCATGCCACCAGTTTTTTTTTTTGCGTAACCTCGTATAGGTCGTGCTGCATTGATTTTGCATCGTGTGTATTCTTTATACTCCAGGTCATAAAAGGTCAAGTGTTCTTGAAATGCTGCGCCGAAGGCGCGCGAAATTTTTGAAAACAACCTTTTCCTCCGCTTTTTAGGCACGCCTTTTATACGATCACCGTTCAAAGCTCCTCTCGCTCTTTTACCAAATTTGAAGGTGTAAAAAATACCAAAGGTTTGGTCGGGCCGCTGCCACACAAACTGTATAGAAAGCTTGGCTCATGGGTGTCGATGTATAAAAGTTTATTGGCGGTGGCATATCTACGCACCAGATCACCGTATCGGATTGATACCGGAGCGCGAGATGCGTAAACATCATCCAAGTTACCTCAGACCAGCCTTCATAGCCTTCTCACAGATGCATACAGTGTACCCACATAACCAGTTTCAATCACCGAAACTTCAGATGCCTGCTGTTGCGGCCGAACCTGTTGACAATACTTAATCGTAATCCATATAGATGCCATGATGCACGTAAAGTAGGATCAATCCGTTAAGACCAAAGACGTGTTTTATGCATCGTAGAGCGTAGATAGTTTTGGTAGGTATAGGTACTTCATTCATTGTGCTGAATGCACGTTCATTTGTGGCAGTTTTCACAGGCAAGACATCAACTATGTGCAATAGAACGACTAAGTTGAAAAACATGCCAAAGGAGTAAATAAATGATAAGAGGGCAGCGATCAACGGATGTTGCCAATAGGTAGAAGGGCTGCGATCCACAGGAGGGCGCTAATAGGTAGGAGAGCCCCGATCAACATCCCGAGTTTCGATAGTAGGGCACTGATAGGTAGGAAGTTGGCGAGCAGCAGGAGGGCGCCAATGGATAGAAGGGCAGCGATCAACAGGAGGGCACCAATAGGTAGGAGGGCCCCGATCAACAATCAATAGGAGGGCGCCACCAGGTAAGAGGGTGGCGAGGAACAGGAGAGCACCAATAGGAGGGTGGCGATCAACAAGAGGTCGCCAATAGGTGGGAGGGCGGTCATCAACTGGAAGTCGTTAATGAGCGGAAGGGTGACGATTAAAATGGGGGTGGCAATGGTGAGGAGGGCGCCTTTGCTCAAGAGGATGACACGAACAGGAGGGCGTCTGTGCGGAGGGCGCTGGTCAACAGGAAGGTACCAGTGGATAGGAGGGCGGTGATCAACAGGAGGGTGCCAGTGGTTAGGAGGGCGGCGATCAACACGAGTGCGCCAATAAGAGAAGGGCCCCGATTAACATTCAACAGGAAGGACTAGGGAACCAATAGGTAGGAGGGCGGCACTGAACAATAGGGTGCCAAAAAGGAGAAAGGCGGCCTTGAAAATTTCACATGAGGGCGCAATAGGTAGGAGAGCGCCAATAATTATGAGGACGCCGATCAGCAGAAGGGCGGCAATATGTAGCAGGGTGGCGACCTACAGGAGGGCGCCTTCGGATGAGAGGGCGCTTATTTACGGGACAGCGGCTTACATAGGCGACCACCGTTACGCTTAGAGAGCTACAGCCTACAAATGTGGTTGGAGGGCGCCCGAGGGAGCCCTCCAACCGTATTTGGAGGGCGTATTTGGAATGGGCGTCCTCCGAGGGCGCCCTCCATCCGTATTTTCCCTGTAAACACATTCGCGATTGGAGGGCGCCCTCCAGTCGCGATTGTTTTTCGATTCGATTATATCACAATTGCATTTGCGATTGGAGGGCGCCTTCGGCGCCCTCCAATCGCAAAGGGCGCCTTCGGCGCCCAAGGGGGGGGGGCCATGGCCCAGTGGCCCCCCCCTGCCTACGCCCCTGGAAGCATGCGTTCTCTTGACCCAAAGCCTAGATAATCGGGTTCGGGGTCTAGGCTATGTCCATTCCACAAATCTTTCCTACCGAGCCCAGCATCCGACTCAGAGTCGGTCTAAGGTGAAATCCATGGACGAATTTAAGATGAGATTCAGGCGGTGAACTGAAATCGGCTCCGCCGCCGGGGGACGCTCACCCGGGCTGGCACTGGCAGCGGACCTCCATCCAGGTGACCTGGTGACAGGTGCTGTTGTGCCGGCAGCCGGCCTCGTCACACGGCGAGCGCGACTCGCCCACGCTGTCGGCCACGATCAGCGACAGCTCGTCGAACCGCTGGCCGTTCACCTGCGAGGGCAGGCAGAGAACATGGGAGGGAGAATGTGGTAAAGAAAATTCATTTATCTTTTTTGTCCAATAATTGCCTGTTATGGAACAGACGAAACCGGCAGTTCTGTAAAGGTCGTTTTCATTTTACAATACAAGACCTGCACCGTGAAAAGGTGTTACGTCAACTCAATATGATAATTTTCACGGCGCGGATGTTCAGAACTCCATGAAGCCCAGACCTGCAGCTGGAGCAGAAATCCGCCGAAGCCCGGCTCTCGGGGCGGGCTGCCGACCACTAGCGCCACCCTGCGATCCAGCGGCCGATCGGCGAACTGCTGAGCTACGGTCACAGGGGAGCCCTCGAGGCGCATGGCCGCGCGGCAGGTGGCCGCCGCCCCGGCCGACCGTCCAGGTATCCAGCGCAGCCTGAGGGTGGAGAGGATAATATATAGTCCAATAGCAGCATTTTGGCTATCGCCGAAAAAAAACTCCTAAAAAATGAGTCAATGAGCCGTGACAAAAGCCGGCGCAAGTTGGCAATAAAATGTGGCTTTCCACCAAGCAATGATGAACTAACGTTATGTTATATTTTTCGTGGTTCTCACATCATGATAAAATATGTGGGAGGTTGATGCTGACGTGACTGTTGCCTCCCAATGATCACTAAATATGATTTTACTTCCTCAAATTTAACCGAATTATTTAGCTCAGGAGGAGTGAGGGTAACATTGGACCTAACTCCCCGGCCCTTTTCACTCACACGAAGTGCACGGTGACCTGTCGTCCCGTGTTGACCTTGGCCTGAGTCTCGATGAACGAGGTGGCCTGTCGGCCGGAGCAGGCGAACGCGAGCCTTAGGAGGCCACCGGAGAGGAAGAGCCGATACCAGGGCGGCACGCCAGTGGGCAGCGAGCTGAGCACGACGCCGTCCTCCGACAGCGTGGCGAAACTGGAGAATAAGAGAAAGAGGCGGGGGCGGGGAGTAAGTGTGTGAGCGGGCTGAGCCTCGGAGAGGTAGGAGGCTCGACTGAGATTGATAGTTAAGAGATCTTCTGCAGATAGATATGGGAATGCGAACGTCGAGTGCAAAATAACATCAACTACCGAATATGGGCTGTTATTAACTGCAGTCTGCAGTTGCAAAGATACTGTAAGAGGTATCAAAGTACGTTGTCTGCGCCGTCAACCCTTCATATCAAAGTCAAATACTAAGGGTAAATTCATGCATTGCCTTTATAATGACTACCTACTCGAATGTTTCATTATCCTCTTCTATGGCGCGTTTGACTACGCCCGGCCTGAGAGAATAGGATACGTGACGACCTGGCATGAACATTGAAAGCACACAAGTTCTTCCACTAACCTGATTTTAAGCCTGACCCTCTTTGCGTCTTCTGTGAACGAGTTTGCCGCACTGCCGCTCTCATCTCTTTGTTTGTCCATCTCCGGCTGTACGTCCTCAGACTTCCTCTCCTCCTCTTGATGATGGTCCGCCACCGGCGCCGCCGTCGACTCGGTGTCCCCGAGGAACTGCCTCTCGTCACTGAGCACCTCCTCCAGGAGGTCCGTGTCTGTGTACTCCTCGGGATCCTCGATGGGCTCGTCGGCACCGTTACTCTCCAGGAGGAGGTAGGTGTCGGGGAAGAAGCGGATCGGCAGCAGGTCCGACGTGGCGCCTTCAGCTGACGGTGGTGCTGCCTCAGTTGCTGGAGCGCGTGTCAATGGAGATGGCCCTCCAGTCACTGTGGCTGTTGGAATCGTCTTTTCCGTTGTCGTGGCTGTTGGAAACGGTGCCGAGGTAGTTGCATTTTCAGGTAGCAGTGACGTTTGATGAGTGGTGTTCTGTTTTTCTTCGGCTGACGGAGTTGATGTCATCGTTAGGATTGGTTCAGTGTTTGGCTCAGTTGTGATGTCCATTGTTTCCGTTGAAGATAATGTCTCTGTAACACCGGCATCAGGCAGTGTGGAAGGCTCGCTAGCCACATCTGTGGTAACATCATACGCAACAGTTAATGACGTTTTATCGTCATCGGGCAACGTCGATGTTTCCTTGGTGGTGGACTCGGATAAAGTGTGTGATTCCTCCGTCGCGGGATCGAACTGTGTGGACGCTTCTGTGGAAGCTACCTCGGCTTCCGTGGACGTATATTCTGTGCTGGAATAAGGTGTCGTAAACACTTCCGTTGTTGTGGAGATTGTGAATCCCGATTCCGCGATGGCGGATTCAGCGGTGACAGTCACATGTTCTTGCTCGGTAGTGGAAGTATACGATGCTGATGATGCTGTCGTGCTTTCTGCGACAGATACGTCTGTCGCGTTTGTCACGTTTAGGAGTTCAGTTGTGGCATACGCTGCCGTAGAAGGCAGATCCGTCCTTCCTTCTGGTGTGACAACAGAACTCTCTGCAGATTCCGTTGATGTCGACGAACTTGTTCCCTCGACTTCAAGCGATGTTTCTTCGGTGACCGACTCAGTTGAAAGCGTTGAAGTGCCAGCGATGGACTCTGGTGTTGCCTCGGTTTCCACAACAGGGAAATAAGAAGTTGTGGTCTGTTCCCTTGCGTTAAAATCAGTTGTGGATACGATAGCTGTGCTGACATCGGATGATGTGGAAGTTCCTCCCGGCGTGGCAGTTCCTAAACTTGTCAATGCCTCCTCGGTGGTTGTCTGATCGACCTCAGTTGTACTTCTTCCACGTTCTTCTGATGGCTCTTGTGAAAATGTATGCAAAGTTGCGAAGGCCTCTGTGGAAATAGCTACATCAGACGTAGATGTTTCCTCAGTTTGCGTTGACATCGTTACTGGCCAAGTGGTTGAAGAGTCCGTAGTGTAAGGCGACGTATCCTGAGCTGATGTACTTGTAGACTGCGATTGCGTCTCTTCAGTGGTCGAGATGTATGGGGTTTGAGTTGACAAATCATCATCTCTGGTAAAGTTCTCGCTTTGGGTAGAGATCCATTCTGTATATGAAGGAGTGGATTCAGTTTGCGTGCCAGTCTCATCGGCCTGTGTGGATATCTCATCAGTTTGCGTAAAAGCGTCATCGACCCGGGCCGACGTTTCCTCAGTGGATCCCATACCATCACCATCAGTAGTGGTTTTTCCGTCTGTAGAATAAGTATCCGTGGAGCTCCTTACTTGGTCTTCAGGCGGAATAACCAGGCTCGTAGTGACCAGCTGGGAGGACGCCACCGGTACTGGTGTGGGGGTGACGGGAGTGACCTCCGATGATCGCACGGGAGTGGACATGATCCCCGGTGGGCCAGGGGAGCTGGAGACGGTCGGAGGCAGTGTACTGGCAATGGAAGGCGATGCCGACTCCGGCAGTGGCAGTGTGGGTGAAGTGAGCTCTGGTTTTGGCACTGTCTGCAGAGGCGTGCCTTCAACGGGCGACGTCTGCGGGGCTTCCCCCGGCTCGCGCGGCGGGCTGAAGGCATCCCAGTCGACCTCTGAAGGCTGGGAAATCGTCACGACAGCAGTCGCTCCATCGCCTTCCCACGCAGAGAACGCAGGTGGAGGCGTCGACATCGCCTCCGCTCCCGGCTGCGTCGTCTCAAACGATGGCGAAATCCACGGTTCTGTCGTCGCCGTCACACTTTCGCGGAATTCCTCCGTGGCGTCGGCTGGCCCGTCGTACGCGACGCTGGCGGTGGCCTCGACGTACTCTGTGGCGACGACGGAGGTGTGGAAGACAGTGCTGTAGCCGACGGTGACCACCAGGTGCGGGAGGAGGCCGGCCACGCGCGGCTCGCTGTGCTCCGGCGCCACGCAGAAGGTGTCGTTCTCGGAGGAGAGGCACTGGCAGTAGCGGCCGGACGCTGCCGGCGGACACTGACACTGGAACGAGTCGACGGCGTCCACACAGGTGCCTCCGTGCAGACACCTGGCAAAGACGGACAGAGGGTGGAGTCACAGGGCGGCAGCGCGGGGAGAGGTTGGGCTCAAAGAGGCGGTGATATATTCAGGGATAACCGCTGAGGATAACGGGATCTCTAATGCATGATATATGCAAATGCCTTTTGCACCGTCCTTTCACAATGTTTCTAATAAGTGTTTGTCACTAACATTATTTTATTTGGTAGCTTTTATATCTCTTAAACGTTTACACAGTCAAACGGCTGATGATTTAATGTTCATTTGCGATAAAAATGTCTTAAAGGGACAGTATCACCATTTTGATGAAATTTGACATTGCATAGGCCCCACCTTTCTGGTCCGGGAACTGAAGACCGATCCTCGAAGCTCCACACTGTTATCCCGCTATCGCCGCTCAAAGTACGAAAGGTGTACCACACTTTGAATCGTGCTTCACTATCTTCACTGTTTAAATGTTTGCGCCGTTTTGAATTGACCGCCAGTAATAAAACTTTTACCCTGGTCATTTCATCAAATTTTATAAAGCCAAAACGTTTTTCGCACTTATTCATCACCGTTAAATTCATTAAATAGTCGTAGGCAATTTCCGCTGTTTCCTTCGGATTCTAGCGGCTCAACAAAGGAATTCCTCCAGCTTGAATCACAATCTCCCTCCAATGTATGACGTTTATCACGTGATTGTCACGTGATATTTTCTCCCATTGTCAATTGTCACGTCCAATTGTCACTCCCTCCAATTGTCACGTTATATTTTTATAGGCAATACCTAAGGCTACCTCTCCCTAAGGACAACTCAATCAGAAGAACGACCGCGTAAGCGTAGAGTCAATAATGTATTATCTGCGCCAGTTCTGTAGTAATTTTGCATGCTTCCAAACTGGCGGCCATGCTTGTATAGTGGTGGTTCGCTCATGAAAATGAATCATGAAAATGAAATGTGGTTGCAATATTTTTCACCGAGTTCGGTCCTCAAACTATGTTTTTCTGATTCAGAAAAATAAGAAATGCTAGTAAAAAAAAAATCAGCTCCATACATGGATTTTTTTTTCGATGATACTGTCCCTTTAAATATGCCTAAGATTATGACACATCCTCCCGCTGATAACCGAAGGACAAACATCTTTCTTCAATAATCGGAGTGGCTGCTCCCACCTGGGCTCGGGTAGGCAGTCGTTGTACCGTCTCTGGCAGCGCTCTCCATGGAAGTCGGGGCGACACAGGCAGGCCTCGCCGGCCTCTGTCAGCACGCAGAGGCCGTCGTTCTCACACACATTGACTTCGCAGTTCTGCAGCGCCGTCTGGCACAGCCGCCCCGAGAACCCTGGCCGGCACAGCTCAGCAGAGTTAGCGGAACACAGTGTCCGGTGGCTCTCTTTGGAGTCGCATTGGTGTGATGAGGGAGATTAAGTGAATGCCATGCCACACACCGTATTTCCTCCTAAGCTTTTAACGTTTCCCGATAGGTATATTTGTAGTGGCTACAGCAGACTTGTAAACAAGCGAGTTCTTTCACAAATTCTTTTACAAATTCAATATGTGACTGTCTCGTCGATGACCCTTTATGCATCAATGGCAGCGATAATTTGTGTATTTTTTTTTAACAATCGAATGCTCTAGAAAAAGATTCCCCGTAAAGTGGCAATGCATTTATTTGTACATCTTTCGCGAAAATGCCCCCTTTGCGCTGTTTTCAAGCTGTTGATTTTACTGCCCATTATATGATCCCGAATGGTGGACGGTTCTGCGTATTTATCTGAGAAATACCTTGGGATAAAACAAACCATAACGCGACTATGAATCATGAGTGCATTGTAAATCAATGCTGACTAAGTAATTCATTGAACCTCCTCAGATATGCGACGAAAGCGCAATCGGCAACAGCCGGTAGCCCGGCCCGCCGCTACCTTCCGTCTGAGTCATATTTGTATCATAACATAGTTCAATGGCGTGCGTGTCGGCATGACTCACACATGCTCGTCATAGTGCTAGTGCACTTCAGAAATGCGTAGAGTGGCCATTTGATATAGGTATTAGGTATATATGTATGTAGTTGCATCAGATGCCCTTGCCATTCTTATGGAGATATTTTGGCACGGCGATACGAATCTCAATAGTTTAGGGGATGTTTTGCCGGATTATTCACGTCACACTCAACATGCCAACAGGATTACAAACTACAACCGTTCACTAGTGTCGCAGAGAGTCACGTGGTGGTGGCACCATCGACATTACACTGGCATGGCACTGACGTGTCAAAGTTTATCTCTTGATCAAATAACGGTATGTGAAACGTCCTTGAAACATATGTATGGCACCACCGGACATTAAGCAAATGTGCTGCTCATTTGGTGAGGTGTTAGACGACGCATGTAATTGGCATTGGAAAACAAAAATTCGTTTGTTACCCTGCTATACCGCAAAGTAGTATACTTCCAATCATATGCTAGTAGGTACCGGATAAGTGCATAAGTAATGCTTATTTATTTTCCTCTTAGCAATAGTGCTAAAACAAGATGCCTGCATATGCGAACCCATGAGCTGTGCTGCCGGTATTTTTAACAATTGTTTACTTTATAATGCCTTTTAGTGTTTAAGAATTGCTTTGAAAGTTTCCTTATATCTGTACTTGGAAATGCATTTAATTTAATCATTTCCTGATGTGCCTAGTGTTTAGTCTCGTTAACTGTAAAGGCGACCAGGGCCTCGTTTCATAAAGCGAGTCCGTAACTTACGGCGGTTTTTGGTCTTGTATTGCAAGCGCATGTGAAGCGATGACGATAGTTTAAATCGTTGAATTTATTTATATAGCAAACAAGAACAGAAAGGGGAAGGCGAAATACATTTATCGCTTCACATGCGCTTGCGATACAAGCCCAAAAAACGGCGTAAGTTACGGACTCGCTTTATGAAACGAGGCCCAGCGCCCATCACACGGTTTTCTCACCGGGCTGGCAGACACACTGGAAGGCGTTGATGTGATCGATGCAGGTGCCACCGTTCAGGCACGGAAAGGAGGCGCATTCGTTGACGTCGATCAGACACGTGGCGCCGGTGTACCCTGCCGGATAAAACACAAAGAATGGCAAAAACATGACATTAAAGACAATTACATGATCATCATACTGAACCAAATCCATATTGCGCATTGTTTTTGAAAATATCGCGTCTTGAAAGTAATCCTCGTTCCTCTCTTTGTTTCAACACATGCTGCTGCGTTTAACCCTCGCCCGTATGGGGGGGAGGGAGTCGAAGAGACCCCCTCGGTTTTTCGCGAATAGCTCGCGTAAAAAGCGCCTGATCGCGACGAAACTCTCAGTACCTTCGAGTTGATTAATTTTACACCTACCCTGAAAATTTCATGACCCGGCCTCAAATGACCTGTGACCTGTGACCTACTTTTCGAGACCATGTTTTGCCGGAATCGCGATTCGGCGTATGTCGGCTCGCATTAGCCGCGCGTTTGCAGTCTTTTCGTGGTTTCAAGCTTTCACACATGTGATGTCATGTTGCCCCCATGCATTAGGGTGGGTGTCAAGGTCACCTTAAGGTCAGGGTAGGTCATTGACCTTTGATGACTTAGGTTCACTTTTCGAGTTTTGCATGTTTCTGGGCCAGTTTTTGGAGCTGAATTCGAATTTAGCAACCATATGAGCATTTACGAAGCAGTTTTGGTGCCTTCGTAGCATGTTACGAAGCTGTCAGAGGCGGTTTTGACACGTACTACGAATACCCGGCAGGACCCCTAACTGGTTGACACTTGACTTGACCTGACCTGACCCGACCTGGCCTAAATGCATGAAGACGTCATCTGTGATCGAAACTAACATGATATTCGTGATCAGCTCCTCGAATACCCTATATCAGTGACACACGACTTTCTAACAGGTCCCGATTTTCCCGACTTTTGGGTCATTGACCTGACATGGAAGGTCAACCAATGACCTAGGACCTTAAAGTTGGGTATCATCGGCTTCCTCTCGTCACGGGCAACACGTTCTTTCTCTCTGCGAAGCTCTAGCTCAATCAGGGCCAAAACGGCAGGGGGGGGGGGGGCAACGCCGTCCCCCCCTTATACGTTTGCGGCTGGAAAAACACCAATACGGGCGAGGGTTTAATGACTCTTTGTTTATAACCTTTGATTATTTTTCAATATTCATAATTCCTCAATGTTGTGACCTATATTATTAACGTGCCTCTCTCGTAAACGATTTCTCCGGATGTCCTTGATCAGGCTATTTTTGTCACTGGACACTGGACAGGAACAGAGGTTTGCATGTATCTGTAAACTTACTTCCTGACGCACCATGACTCAGCCTAGAGGCCACATGTGGAAAATGAAACGCAATAGGAAATAACGTCAATAAATGCTTAGAATTTATGCGGGATGCAGCGCAGTACTTTCTCTTAGCTGCAACGTCCATGCCGCTCCTACCTTTCCCCGAGATATAGGTTTGGTTGGAAAATGATCGACGAAACACTCATCAGCACTCAGCAGCAGCACTCGGCACTCATCAGAAGTCGACACAGACAAGGGGTTGTTGTCGATTGTCGTCGACCATCGTGGAAGAAGCTCCCAAATGTGGTTGTTCCGCCCGCTGAGTTCCTTTGTATTTCCATATGGTGTCGCGCGGCGGCAGTCTCCGACCCATCAGTAGCGCTGGTGTCAAGGGCTAGCTGCCCCTTGAAGGCCCATTGCGAGGTCGAGGGCTAGTTGCTCCATGTAGGTCAGGGGTAGTTGTCCTGCTCTGGCCTGTTTCCCTCCTGCGGTGAGGTCACTGGCTTTCAATCTCGCTGGGCCCGTCCCTCCCCGTCCCTCCCCGTCCCTCTCTGTCCGTGCTCCTCTGTTCCCCTATACGGACCTGGCCGGCACTGGCAGTGGTAAGTGTTGGCCGGTCCGTCCACACACCGCCCACCGTTGTGACACCGGGTGTACGGCGGCTGCACGTGGACGCACACGCTCATGTCCTCTTCACAGCGGAGCCCTGCGAACAGACCAACGCAAATTGGGTGTCAAGTGGAGGCAGGTCTAAGCAATGGACGCTTTGTTTACTAGAATGGCCGGGTGTGAATAGGAAGCAGGCTTTGGTGTGTAATGTCCGAGCCGACGCTGCAATTGATCAATGGATTCCGCAGTTAGCTTTGTTTACGGCATTGATGACAACAATGTCAAACATGTATGCCTATCCTACATCCATGTCAAGTGTTGAATATAGTTTGTCAATAAGGACACGATAGCAGGTGATCTAATCGTGGGTATGCGCTGAATGTGGCGTGATGTCTCGACTGGCTACCTGACTGCGCTATCTTTGAAAATTGACGTCAATGCAACTGTTTTGTAGGTGGTACAAGGACACAGGAAACCACCGGAAGGGCCATTTATATTTTTGAATAGAAGCATGCGGTATGTGTCATATCTGAAACTGGTAGCTGGGGATTGACGCTCTCAAACACTTGAGAACTTTAGAACACTTGAGCAACGTACTATCATGAGCTGTCTCCGGGAGCCCGGCATGCCTGTGCCGCCGTTTTATCTCGGTATGATCACTATGAAGGGGTGTTGTATGACGGGTGTAGTATCCGGGAGACCAGCCAGGACGCCATTCTCACCTCTGAATCCGGGGGGACAGAGGCAGGCGACCAGCCCGTGGTGCGTGAACACACACGAGGCGCCGTTCAGACAGCCTGCCTCCTGACAGCCGCGCACCTGACTCTGACAGCTGTCACCTGCGGGACCGGCAGACAGGACAGTCAGACACTGGAGTAACTGTCACACAGGACAGTCAGACACTAAGAGGGGGACTGTCATACGGGGCAGTCAGACACTGGAGTGACCGGCAGACAGGACATTCAGACACTTGAGGGACAATTTCCAATTTATTGAAATGGTTGAGGGGCCGACACTGGCAGATCTCGCCAACCTACCTACCCCTATTTTTCTCCTCGGATTTCGCCACTGTATTTTGAGGTATATAAAAAATATGGGGAAAATATGAAAAAAAAATGATATAATCAAATCAAATAGGCACTAGCAGAGAAAGCCTCTGCACAAGCCAACTAAATAGATGCTCACTGAGAAATATCTATAACATCTGTATACCGTTATCAGATAATTGAAACACGGTCATTCAGCTCCAGCTTCCAGTCCCGGCGTCCAGCTGCGGTGCCCAATTCAAAACAATTTCGACCTCCCACAGAACTCCGAGCAGAAGCCCAATAGCTCGACACGGTTTCCCACTTTGCCAAATTCGCCGTTATTATGGTAGTACGTAGTGAAATAATTGATCATCTAAATCGAGGAAAAAGTTGACAAACATGGAAATTAATGTATCTCGAAGCACGAAGTCACTGAAAGCAAGAATATAACGCTGCACATGGGCGGATCCAGGGGGGAGGGGCATAGGGGCCATGGCCCCCTTTGGCGCTGGAAGGGGAGCCAACATATCTTTTGGCCCCCTTTCATCCGTGTTGTTTCTCACAGCCGGCTAATTTTTCAGAATTATTTTCACCATTTTCATCGACGCTAAGGCCGAACATTAACTTTTTTTGCTAGTAATATGAACAGGCCTCACTATATGAATATGAACAATATGAACACACAATATGAACAATATGCACAATATGAACGCACGAACACAATTTGGCTTGCTGGCAACCAGCTTATGCAGCACAGACGGCTTGATTTTCGACTATGCCCGTTTGGCTGTAACTGCAGGGTGCCGAGGCTGGCCGCCGGCTTTTATTTGTCTATTTCCTGCTGGAAGGTAGCCCAAAGATCCTCGCTAAGGGTCCGGATGATAGCCGGTTAATTTCTTCCGAACTCCGGCAGGCTCGATTCGCACAACCGCCTGGACCTTGGCAGAGCAATGAGCTGGCGCGCCGTCCTGCATGGAAATGCATGTTGGCCTGTCATCGACCGTCGAGGCCATGTGTCGACTCAGAACTGAGCCGCTGGAGGCCATTGTCGGTAATGAGCCTCAGCGAACTCTTCTAATATGTAGCGTCTCATGGTCCTGTCTGGAGATGAGATAGTCCTTGAGCGTGATCAGCTTGGCCAAATTATTCACCAAGTGGGCACTCTTCCGGGCCGCCATTTCAATGCGATTTCTGCCCCGGGCGAAATGGTGGGCGAATGCCCGTCTCGGACTATCAGCAACACTGACAGCAGCCGTATGCTTATCCCACCACTGCGGGACTGTGCAGGCAGATGTCCCAACTGACCAGCAATTACACGTTGTGTTATTTTGGCCTCGAGCATGTCGACTGTCTGGTTCAGCTCCCCGAGATAGAAATTTCTTTCCTTCATTTAGCCTTCATTTTGCAACGCGGCCATTTGGGTGTTTGCATTTGGGTGGGCAATCTGTGTATGCATAACTGGCCGTAGTTCGGTGACCCATGACCCAAGGTTCGGTCACGACCTCATGTTCCGCGGCCAAGGACCGTGCAATCTTTGCCAAAATCTTTATCAAAAATATTTATCCCTTAGGGGTAGAAACGATTAGAAACCGGATAAGTGTTGTCCTAGGTAGGTAGAGTCCTAGGTATATGTCAACACATTTCGAAACACCGGCGCATAACTCAAAAACCTATAGAGCTGCTGCAGCGCCGCAGAAAAACGCATTCGATAGCCCTTTCGACGCTTTTTCTAAAGACAGTGCTCATATTTGACCTCAGGTCAACGGTTTACCCGCCGGAGGCAAAAATTGAAAATTGCTGCTTTTACGAACAATATTTTTATTTTTATTTTTTTTTTTGACTCAAGAAACGTCGAGATCTCTTGTAGAGATGGCTCGAATGAACTATAATTTGGACTTAAAAGGTATTTTGAAAATTTGATCTTGGGTCAAGGCAATGACCTGATCGGAAAAGGTCATTTTGCATATCAGTAGATCCGTATTGTCGACCTGAACACATCGAATGTGTTTGCATTGCTCTAGCATGTCTCCATAAAAAGTTGTTGTCAAAAAACTGCTGGGGGCCTTTGATGACCTGATATGACCCCAGGGAAATAGAGGGGTCATGGTTGTAATTTTTCGATTTAGGGTGTCTATTTTACCTGTAACCCGATGTTTGAGTGTTTGGAAGAATTGGAGGATGAAAAGCATGCGATAGCATGCTAGCATGCTATCGCATGCTTTTGCATCCGGAAATTCCCTCTGGTGGGTCGCCGAAAAAAAGTTCGGCTGAGCCTGGTTGTCAGTATGTATGTGAGTTTGTCCAAGCTTTTTTGGACCTAAAGTCAAAATGGGTGGACCGATCGGGACGAAAGTGGTACCGTTCGACTCGTCTCCGGCGAGGTAAACTTCAAATGCTGGCCTCGGCTCGCTCAGTGCTTCGTGGCACATGCTTGTATGCTCGTGCGAGGTAAAGAAAGATTACTTATGTATATTTGCCATTATCTTGTTTTCATCTTAATGCTTGGAAGAAAATATGTGATAAACAATGGCATGCCCTGTGGCTGCAATCGACAAGTAGCATTTTACATTCCGTGCTGAATGCCACTTAACGACCTAATTAGTGATATAGCCGATAACGTTATGCATCGCTGGCATCAACCGTGTAATCTCTCATCAGTGAAAGCCGTTTTCTGTTTAGGTCACGTGTGTAAAATGTCGGCCGTCGGAGGGACCAATAAAGAAGTGAAATATTAATGGTCGCGTGTTGGTGGCACGGGGACCGTGATGTCAGATTCCGCAACTTTCCACAACATCGACCGCCGCTGGGCCGCCGCGCTGCTCGTGGAAAAATTGCAATGCCGCAGATGATAGGTATGGAACATCAGTCACGACATCCTTCTGTTTAAATCGTCATCTGGCTCACCCGTTAGTTTTTATTTGAGCACTTGCTGGAAGACTAAGGTTTTGCTTTGTTTGATTTTTTGCTCATGATCTTTTTTTTTAAGTTTCAAACGCTATAGACTCAATAATCAATATGCTTGATGTATGCCTAATGCCTATTATGTAATGATAAACTGCGGAATGGTTCGGTTCCCAGAGGTCTGGATCATTTCACACAGCACGCGCACATTGCATTTCTGCCTGCCGTCGTGCGGCGGGACAGCGATCTGTTCTTCAGGCTGTCATCCTCCCAGGTCTCTCATAGCTTGTTCCGTCGCTCGGCGAGGGGTGGTGCCTGTCACGACCGGCCCGCTGACGGCCTGTTGGGTCGATGGGGCCGCCTCTGACCTGGACCGCAAAATGAACACCAACGCAGTCCCCCCCCCCTCCCGCTGCCAGCCCCATAGCCAGGGCAGCGATGTGCGAGCTCACGCACCCGACTCTGATTCGGTGGCACATATTCGGACAGCCGCCTCGGTTTGACCGATTTCGAGACAGACATGGTGGCGTGATAGGAATAAAAAAGCTGCTTTCGTGGAATACCTACACCAATGCCTACACTCAAGAAAATATGAGCGCTCAGCATTGTTGTAGGTACAACAGTACTTCTGATAATCTTGTCGAACTTACATAATGAATCATAGGCCTTTGTATACCGGTCTCTATGCCGGCGTAAGTGTGTGCAGAGGTCTATGGATAACTAAAGTCCGAATGAATGAATGAATGAATGAATGAATGAATGAATGAATGAATGAATGAATGAATGAATGAATGAATGAATGAATGAATGAATGCTTACTTACTGGTGTAGCCGGGGGATGGGGTGGAAGATCAGATCACAGGTCACTGCCCTGTGTAGCCGGGAGCGCAGGTCACAGGTCACTGACCTGTGTAGCCGGGGGCGCAGGTCACAGGTCACTGACCTGTGTAGCCGGGGGCGCAGGTCACAGGTCACTGACCTGTGTAGCCGGGGGCGCAGTCGCAGGAGAAGCCGCCGACCCGGTCGGAGCAGGTGCCGCCGTGCTGACAGGGCGCTGACAGGCAGTCGTCAGCGTCTGTCTCGCAGTACAAACCCGTGTAGCCGTCCTCGCAGAAACATTGGCCGCTGCCGACACAGGGGCACCGGGACCGGGTCACCGTGGCACCAGTCGTGGGGACTTTGGTTACCAGGTCACTGACTGCCGAGTCGCAGTGTAGTCCTGGCTATTTGTTTTGATGTACGATGTCGAAAACGTACTGAAAAATGAAAAATCGATAAAGGTGAAATATTGACTACAAAGCAAATATTTTTGCTATTTTTGTAGATATCGGACTAAAACTTCCTAGAGTAGATCATCAATATGTGTCAGTGTTTATCATATATTCCGCTTTTTCGAAAGGTCAAAAACTTATGATTAAATACTCAAAAAAATTAATTTTAAGGATTTTTTATGTTGAATCAAAATATGCAAAATATTGAAAATTTGAAATAGCAATTTAATAGCCCTGTGTATTTTGAGTCCTCCCATGCAATGAAATTGATTTTAGTTTAAAAACTAAGCTCTTGAGAACGATTGCCGTACTTCATAACTTTGCATCAAAATCGACCGAACATGACGGCACTCTGACGTCATTTTCGGACGACCCATGGTAGCTGCAAAAGTTTCTTTTAGACACAATGTGTAAAAGTGATGCAGTCGAAGGTACCGCAAGTTTCGTGTTGATACGTCCAGGGGTTTAGAAGATATTTCAGAAAAACGGGAGCGGGCTCTGTAGAGCCCCTCCCCCCAGTCATGTTCGGATTAACTGTTTACTCAGCGCTATGATTACTGCATTGCTTCCGTCCAGTCATCCTTGGTAGTCCCGTTGTCATGGGTTATGATAATAATGCGTTTACTATTATCTAAATCTGATATCTTAATCTGAGATAGGTATAACAAACGCTAGGAGCAGGTGAAATCCTCCCTCTTAGGTTGTAATCTATAGGCATTGGTGAGTCATAAACATGAATCATGTTTCCGTGTTATGAGTAAGAACATAGCCCGACGGAGAGCGCAAGTTGGCATGTTCTGGCTTAGATCTCACCCGTAGCCAGGCCGGAGTCGATGGGTATTGGATGACCGACTCTGACTCCGCGGCCCTGACTCTCACCCGTTGCCGGTCTGTGGGTTTTAGGCAACTCCGACTCCGACTCCTTATCCCTGGCTCTCACCCGTTGCCGGAGTCGATACAGATGCCGTGCAGACAGTGCTGCGCGGGACACAGCTGCCGGAGGCTGCAGCTGCTGTTGCGGCGATCCTGCTGCAGCGGCACGTGGCGCTGCTGCCGGTGCCGGCCCTGCTGCTGCGGCAGCGGCTGGACACCAGCCGTCAGCAGCAGCAGCAGCAGCAGCACCGTCAGCAGCCGTGCCGCCGCGGCCGGCCACCCGCGCCGCGCGCTCATCGCCAGGTCATGACCCCGGCCGGGTCAGGTCGCCGACGGCAGCGCCACCTGGAATCATAACAGATGCGGTTGCGGGCGTCAATGGCGTAGTAATGAAACGACTAAACCATCATTTTCTTGCTATGAAACACAATCAGTCGAACTTTGTGACCTATAAAATATGAGTTGTTCCCGATGTTCCAGTGCAACCTGCTTATTACAATATGCCAGTGTGGAAAGGAATACCTAATTAACCACTTAACCAACCGTGATTGATAGCACGCTTCGGGGTTATTCCTCGTCATCTAAATGCTCATCATATTATTCCACATCCCATTATCTTATTGATACATATATTGTAACATTTTATTTGTTCTTTTTTTACCTCGCTCACATATCCCAGAGTTTTTCACTTATAGATCAAGGTCATTGTAACTCAGAGCTCGTTGCAATGTCGAAGTAGCGTTGGCGACGCATTCCAGTTGCTCCTGTTTGATCACCATCGCCACTGCTTTATGAGGTCATTTTTCATTCCGCCCGGCATGCTGCGTGCTCGGCCCGGGGGGTCGCTACTCGCTGGCTGGCCGGTCCATTGGACACCAGTCAGTGGTCCACTGTAGCTGGCGCGCCGCCAACTCGGACGTTGTCATCCAGACGGTGCGATGGTATCACACCTGGACAAGGGCGCGCCCAGGCCGGTCACAGGGTAGGCGCCGGACGTGACCTGCCCCAGGGGCGTCCCAACAGGGCGGGTGGCTCAGTTTTGGGGTGATAGTGACAGGTTCTTCCTCCGTTCTGCCTCTGTAATGATGTGCTCGTTAGTAATGCGAGTGAATATCCAGCGGAGGAAACAGCCGATCGTTAATTTATGCGCGACGGGGCGGTGGCCTCCGCCGACTGCCGCTGAGGGCAGGACCACGCAGCATCGGGGCTGGTCATTTGAGGCGACCCTGCGAGGGTGGACGCACCTCTGGGTGGACTCCAGTGGTCCTTGGAGATCGGTTGGCTCCGCCGCTGTCATTTGGACACCATAGGGGCCTCAGCAGCGGCCTGCCGGCCCCAGATCGGGACTCGTAGTCCCCTCGATCGGCTGTGTCGTTAGATCCGCGTGCTGAGCTATCGGCCAGGTAGTATAGGATAGCTGTGGTGTTTGGTGTGATCGGTGAAGCGGAGCAGTGGATACACGACCTTCCGGAGCTGCACCGCGGACGGCCTCGAAGTGACTCGGATAGTGAGACCGCGGGGTGCGGTGCAGCCCGGGAACCAGCCGAGACGCCGCGCCCGGCGGACATGGTCCCCCTGTGGTTGACCGCGCTGGCCGTGGCGGCGCTGGCAGTGCTCGCCCTGCGCCGCCGCCGCCGACTGCCCGCCGACGGCCGCGTCGTCTACATCATCGGTGCCGACACGGGCTTCGGCTTCTCGAGCGCGCAGCACCTGCAGCGCGCCGGCTGCCGCGTGCTGGCCGGCTGTCTGCACGCGGACGGCGAGGGGGCGCGGCTGCTGGGCCAGGCCGGCTGCCAGGTGATCCCTGTGGACGTGCGCGACCCCGACTCTGTGACGGCGGCGGCCGCCGAGGCGGCGCGGCTCGCCGGCGACGCCCGGCTCTGGGCGGTCATCTACAACGCCGGCGTGCTGGTGCTGGGCCACGTGGCCTGGCTGACGGAGCACCAGGCGCGACACATGTTCGACGTGAACGTGCTGGGCGCGGTGCGGGCGGCGCGCGCCTCGCTGCCGGCGCTGGCGCGGCCCGGCGGCCGGCTCCTGCTGGTCGGCAGTCCGTGCGGCAGCATTCCCTGCCAGGAGGTGGCCGTGTACGCGGCCTCCAAGGCGGCGCTGGCCGCGCTGGCCGCCGGCCTGCAGATGGAGGTGCGCGCCAGCGGCCTGCACGTGGCCCTGGTCACGCCCGGCGACATGGCCACCGCCACCAACATCCTGGGCGGCCAGGCGGAGCACGTCCAGCTGATGTGGCAGCACATGGACGCCGACACACGCCGCCGGGACGGCGCCGTGTTCGCCGCGTTCCGCGCGCGTTTGGCCGGCCTGGGCCCGCGGCCGCCGGCCGTGCTGGGCACGCCGCGTCTACGGCGCGCCGTGCTGCGTGCCGTGCTGGACGTGTGGCCGCTGCGGCACTACACGGCCGTGGAGTTGGGCACGCAGCTGTGGCTGGCGCTGAGCTGGCTGCTGCCGCGGCGACTGCAGGAGTGGCTGGTGGACGCCCGACTGCACTACGCCCTGCACCGGCTTGACTGGGACTGGCTCGACCTCAACAACCTCATCTAGCACTGACTGACGCGCTCAGCAACTAGTAACTACTGAGGTAGTTAATCTATAGATCGCCGCCTTAGTTTAGACTTGCCTCCCATCTTCACCATGTACTCTGTTTACCATTCTTGCCCATAGGAACAGTTGTGCATCAGTTGTCCCAGCTCAGGAGCCGGAAAAAACGTGAGACGGGTCAGGCCATTCCCATGTATCGCTGACATGACACGCTCTGAACACACAGGCGTGTATTGTAAATTGAGCGTGTATATACACGCGCTTGCACAGTATAATATGGATGCGTGCTGTATACGTGTTACAGTTTAAAAGTATGCGAAATCCGTTAGGTTGCAACGTAACTAGTTACGTTGCAAACTAACTGACCGTTCAGTTTACGCACAGTTGCATATGTTCTTCTCTGTGCGTGCGTGTGTCGGTGTGGGCCGGACGGCCGCGCTGGCTCAATGGCGTGCCGTGTGGGTCGCGGCTGCGCGCGGTGGTCCCCTGTAGTTCGCAGTCTGGTCCGACACCGTGTGACGCTGAGTCACGGCAGAGTTGAAAACGGAACGGGAGCTGGCGAGGGATGCGGACGGTCAGCATTAGCAGGCCCGGCCCCGGAACATATCCGCGGCCGAGCGAGCCTTCCGGGACGCGCCGGGGATATACGAGTGTGCGACTAACCCGGGTACACATTGATGTTAGAGTGACGAGATAATTCTGATACTAAGAACTACAAGTAAGTCATAGTTGTAGTTGTAAGTCATAGTTGTGCGCAATACACCGAGAGTATGGAAAATCCTTGGGAAAATCCATGTGTTAAAGGGAGATAATGACCTTTTTCCACAAAATCTGAGTTAGGACCATTTTCTGACAAAACACAACAAGTTATAATGTAAATTAAAACCATTTTGCTCAATTCGGTACCTTGCCGCAAATATCTCAACTTGAAGTCACGTTAGCGGGGAGCGCTGAAAATGACCGTTGAATAAGTACTTACATCACTTTTTGGTACTTGCATGTAATTTTGTAAAATGAGCGTATTCCTTACATTTGATCTTCATCACATCTAGTTAGTTAATGGTCGTCTATAGTGCCTTCAAAAGATATTCATGGTTTGGGGGTGGTTTATGTCTAAATTTACGCAACTATTTTTCCTGTTCATCATCTGACGCCATATGCTGCTATTTTAGTAGCATAGCAACGACTCAATTTTGAATCGGTCCCGCCGACTGCACAATAAAAGAAGATAGATACATCACTTTTGCGGCATCACTGAAAAACTTATGCAGTACTGTTATCAAAATTATCATAACACCGTTCGACAAACCTGAAGTCTTTTTGAAATAAATATGCTTGTATTTTTCGCTTCAGGCTCTGACGCCAAAATAATGAATTTCGTAGTCGCAATCGCAAGACTTGGCTGCGTTTCTGGCGCATGCCGCTCATTTGTGGCGCAAAATAATGTAAACAGTGTCATTTCTCTAGGCACTATGTACCCCCGAATTAGAATCTAATTAATTCTAAACCGAATTAACTCTAATTCAAATTAGAATCCTTACAACCAAGCAACGACAAGGCGATAACATAAACAAAAACCCAAGCGTCGCTGTTTGAAACAAAAGCGCCATATACTGCGACTTTTTATAGAGAAGGACAACGCATTTCGGTGGGTGTTACAAGTACTGCAAGTACTGCTTCTTTTTTGCAAAAATAAAAACCTTTTTCACATACGAAAATGTGCTAGGAAATTTTCATATTTTATAGAAACTACAGTAGAAATAGTATAGATGTCGAGTAATTTTTATTTAAGAAAAAAGAAAGCTCATTATCTCCCTTTAACCCGCGCCCCGTTGGGGTCTGCCGAGCAACGCGCCCTGCTGGGGGGGGGGGCAATTCCCCCCCCTAAGATCTCGAGAACCACGCAACATAGCGACAAGCGGCAAACGGTGCTGGATAGCCCTATCAGGGAACTACCTTGTGACCCAATTTCATTGACCTAGGTCAAACCGATGACGTCACAGGTCAGGTCAAAGGTCGAATTTTCACCGTTTACAGTCATTTCAAGAAATGCGTTGTAAAATCGAGTAAAATGCATTTCATTGAAAATCATGGATGGGGGAATGTTCGTCAAACACATATATTGCTATTTGAGGTCACAGAGGTCAGGTCACTGAGGGTCACAATATGAAAATATCATGTGATGCATGTTTTATGGTCCATTTTATATGCCAAATACGATTATGTGGGTCAGACTGCCTTTGGGGTCAGCTAAGATTATGTTGTGGTGAAGGTCAGGTCAAATTAGGTCAAATTTCAAAGTTGATATTTTTGCATAAAATGGGTATCGATTCGATGCAGCTCGTCACGGGGAGTTCAATGGTGGTTGGTCTTTGTTTTGCGCTACGTGGTCTAGAATTGCTAAAAATTGAGTTAAAAATTTGACGTCATCAATTTTGAACAGTTTTTTTTTCGCTATAACTTGGCCAAAAAAGGAGGCATCGATCTGAAATCGATCGATCGATCGCATACTAACTGTAACATGTATATAGAGCAGCGCAGGAATTATCACATATGTACATTCCGGTTTTTTTGAAATTCGGAAACATTTGTAGATTTTGTGAGCGTTTCAAGATTTCATGTTTTTTTGCTCATTTTGCTCGAACATGACCTCAGTTTGACCTCAATGACTCCTGACTTAAGGTGACCAAGACTTGCAATTTTGTGTGAAGGTGTCAAGTTGATGCCCGGGAAGGTACTAAAAATTTGGCGGCGCTGGGCGCCGCCGTTTTCTTGTTATTCAGGAAAAACAGGGGGGGGGGCTAAATTGCCCCCCCCCAGCGGGGCGAAGGTTAAAGAAAATTACACCTTCAATGCGCCTACGAGCGTTAGGTATACCTACCTAACCATTTTTACTTCTATTTGAGGCTTTCAGCTCTTACAAAGCAATCTATCTATATTATCAGTGTGTGCATATACATATTGTTACGAGCGAGCGTGAAGCGCGAAGCGAGTCATTTCGAAATAACGGAAAAATATCAGTTTGAGCGGCCCGGCCCGGCCTGGCCTGTAACACTTTTGAGAGGCTTAACCCGCGCACCGACGGGGGGGGGGGCGGATATCCGCCCCCCCCTGAGGTTTTTCGCGAATAGCGGGAAAACCGCGGCGCTACGCGCGCGAAATTTGGTACGACTATTCCCTCATCAATTTTACACATGGTGTGCAAGTTTGAACCTCCTACCTTTTAAGGTCAGGTCACCAGGTCACTTTGAATGACCCAACTTCAAGTCACTTTTTTGCAACTTTGTCACCGTGCCAGAGCTACAGTAGATGTCGGAGGCCTTTGAAAGTCGCAGGATGTGATTAAGTCATTAGTAGCTACAATTTGTTTATCTCGGAATTTTGATATCGGTGATCTAAGGTCAGGTCAATTTCGCGACCTCCCCATTATAAGTCAATGGGGGAAAAATCAACTCCCTATTTTTACCACTAAAACGGGTCGGAATGGCCCCATATACCATACATGACTTCATATACGATCAACCTTCACTACCTTGAGGTCTGTTTTGCGGGTTCCGGACAAAAAGTCAAATGATAAAAGGTAAAAGGATGATTAGTCAACAGACATTACGTCAAAAGCAAGAAGTCAAAAATCTTAAAAGTCAACAGGTAAAAGGTCAACAAAGAGGAAAGTCAAAAGGCAAAAAGTCAAAAAGGATAAAACGTCAAAAGATAAAAAGTGAAATTGCCAAAAAGTCAATGAATAAAAAGTCAACTAGCATAGAAGTCAAAAGACAAAAAGTCAAATGGACATAAGGTCAAAAGACGAAAAGTAAAAACGGCAAAAAGTCAAATTGCCAAAAAGTAAAAAGGACAAAAGTCGAAAGACAAAAAGTGAACAGGACATTAAGTCAAAATCCAAAAAACCAAAAGGACAGAAAGTCAAAAGGACAAAAAGTCAAAAAACAAGTCAACCGGGCATGAAGTCAAAATAAAAAGTCAAAAGGTTAAAAAGTCAAAAAGACATACAGTCAAAGTCCAAAAAGTCAAAAGGACAAAAAATCAAAGGGCCAAAAGTCCAAAGGACAAAAAGTGAAGAGGACAAAGGTCAAAAGACGAAAAGTCAACAGGACATAAAGTCAAATTACGAAAAATCCAAAGGAAAAAAGCCAAAATCCAAAAACTTAAAAGGACAAGTCAAAGAGCCAAAGTCAATGACACCTGGATCATCAGTCATTAGGTACATACATGACATAACATTTACAAACAGCTGTACACAATCAAGCAGGATGCTGCACAATATAACCTGCATCTTGCCTGCATCATTGGACATTGAAGCGAGACTGCCTCCATTGCGCGACTGATGGGGATTCCCATGGCCCGCAACCGCGACTCAGCTGGTCACACGGGCATGCTTAGCTGAAATCTGACACACATCCGTTGACACTTACGTGCTAGGTGGGAGCTCGCTCGCATCGTAAGGTTGTCATGAGGCAGCGTTACATGATCCTTCGTGACAACTGGCTGTCCCAGGCGCAGTTTACTGGAATTATTTCAACAAATATAGTAACCCGGAATGTTATCGATACGAAAGGTTCGCTTGTTCAAATTTCCTATATTGTGTAGGGAGACGTTTCTCACCAATTGATTCCGTCACGGGTTCTATTAGCGATTTCACACTTTTATTATATGTAGTTCAAGCGTATTGTATGGTACAGTTGGTACAGTCCACAGCAGAAGTAATGTGGGGTTTCAGTCATGGGTATGTTCTGCTTCTGAAGCTTAGGAACGATTAGCCAGACTACAATGAAACTTTGAATGTAGCTTATATGTATCGTCACCCTTGCAGCTGCAACTTTAGCTATTGACATCTCCTTTTCAATCACTTCGCATTAAACAATCGCCAGTCAAAGCCAACCGTTGAGTTTGGTAAAACCCTACATTACTTTAGCGGTGGGCTGTACAATAGTAAAGCGCGTCGTTTCTTTTAGATAGGTGGAAGTTGGAACGAGAGGCAATTGTGT